AGAGAAACCAGCAGTGGAAGGAGGAGCAGCACCATCCCACCACTGTACCTTGGATCTCTGGTGTCCTCCCAGCAATGCAGAACCAGTAGGATGGGGAGAGAAGGATGGTCCCCTTGCAGGACAACATGGCCTTTCTGCTCTCTGGCCTAGAAGACAGGAGGTGGCCTAGTGGAGATAAGCAAAATGATCACCCAAGTGCTTTCTCCACATGCAGAAATTCACACTTTCAGGCATTCCAGAATTTAAGGAAAGATGAGATGGAACTTCAGACCAGGTGCTAAGGATTTACCTGGACACAGAAACTGCACTCATTTAACTGAAACTGCTTTGAAAAGTTTAGTTTAAACTTCAGTGTGTCCCTGTGGGAACACCTTTCCACTGACAGAAAATGAGCAACAAAATAAGTCAAAAGAAAGCACATTTCAACTGATTTAAGAATATCCTCACAGTTGTACCAGCCACCTGGACAAATGAAGAGCCAAACCTGTAGTTCAGCTGGGGCGAACATGCACACTATCTGGCTGGTGAGAAGGTCCATGCTGCCCAGAGGCAGGTATATTTCTCATGATGGACTTGAGCAGGAGATAACACTTTACACATGACTGAAGCCCATGTCCCAGCAAACTACAAACTACCACAGTCCATCAGCATGGTTATTCCCTTCCCAACTGCAGAGGTGCCAGAAGAATTTAAGTCCTGTTCTTGCGGCACCTCCATGGAACTGAGGGCTCTATCATGGTAAGATCCAGACAAGTGTTTACACAAGAAGCGCCCAGTGTCAATCGGACAAGACAAGGCACAGTTGGAAATTCCATCTTACAGATTAGAAAAAAAAAGACAGAAATTAAAAAGTCTGTTCTAAACCCCATGAGAAACCTGCAGGTGGTTTGATGGAGAACATGGATCTCACAAGTGGTGACAGCACTGCACTGATCTAAGATGCTCTCCTGATGACCAGCACATACCTCTTACCTGTAAAACGTTTCATAAAAAGACTGAAGATGTAGGAAAAAACCTTCCTTCTCTAATGAGAACAAGGCTAGCAGGCCAAGAGTAGTTCCACACTTCATGGTGAGACACACTCACACAAAGCATCTCAGGTCCAAGAAGAGTGCACCACATCTCTGCACTGCCACACTTGCTCCATCCATTGGCTGATCTCCTCCACGTGCCTTCAGTTCTGGGATTAGCAAAACACAAAGCCCAAGAAGGGTACAAATATCTGCACCCTGCTATGTGCAGCTGTAGCCCACTGCACACTGGATAAACCAGGCAATGAAACACTGCAGCCTTCCTGCTGCTCACAATTCCTCTCCCTAGGACCAGGTGCATGGAATCTTCTTATTTCTCCTTGTTCCCCCTCAGAGGAGACACCACTCTGGGGTCTTCTTAATTTGAAGCCCAGCACTAACTGATAACTTCAGAGCCACCCAAGGGAGCCTCAGTTCACATTTTCAAGGAGATGTAAACACTGAAGTTGCTCCATCACCGCCTGATTCTCAGAGCAAACAAATATTAACAAGATAAACAAAAGAATGAAAAATCCCACACACCAAGACTGTGGCTGTAATATTGCCTTGGGGATGAGCTGAAGGGAATGCCAAGCTGAAGATCCACAGCCTGGAAAAAGAAGGAAGAAGGAGAAGCAGATTCAGATTGGGAAACAAAGGTGAGGTAAACACTGGACCATGTCTTGCTCCAGCTGGCCCTGGAAGGTGAGATGCCTCCATTCCCAATAACAGATGAGAGGAGAATTTAGTTTTATGCCACATGGATCCTGCAAAAGGTTCAATTACTGATGAAAAGCAGAGCCATGGGATCTGCAGGCATCCTACTCATTGATCAGCTGCCCTGAGGTCATCCACCTCAACTCTCATGAAAGGGCTTTGCCCTGGGTTCTACTTCTGGACACTGCCCAGCTGACAGATACCAGTCCAGGCCAGAATCTGCCAGCACAAGCCAGGCATAGGGCATCCTGAGGGATGGGGCTGAGAGGAACATACATGTGAGAGTGAAACACTCTTCCCTGTCACACAGCTTCTGAATGCAGCCATTGTTAACCTCCTGGTTTTCACTAATTGCCCATGCATTTACAGTCAAGCAACTGAGGTGCCTCCTGCCCTTCTGTCCCTGCAGACCCATGGCTTGCTTTCTCATAGACATCAATTACGGGGGATCATGAAATTTTTTGGTTAGACTCAATGATCTTAAAGATCTTTTCAAACCAAAATGATTCTATGATTCTATTTTGAGTGGTGCCTGGGGCTTCAGGGCTTCTCAGAGACAAGGCTGCAGCTGGACTGCTCTGGTTGTTCCCACCAGGCTCCAGCCAACCACCAGCACATTCTTCAGGTCTCTGGAAAGGAGCAGAGACAGCTTTCCTGATGAAGCATCCATGGTGACACCATGAGAGGCTTTCACCAGGCCTTGCATGTGCTGCTCCAACTGCACAACTCATCGCACCGGACTTCTCCAAGGAACGGATTGCCCACACACAGCCCCCAACCCCTCTCAGCTGACCTTCCCTTCCAGAGAGGTTCACTCTTCCGAAACAAATTAGCTGAACTGGTCCCAGCAAAAATCTCATCCCAAGCATTTCCAACAAGTAAACTCGCTGTGTCTTCCTGAGTGATTTTCCCCTTTCCCTGCTATCATCCACATCAACTCCCTATGCTGTTTTATCATTGAGTTTTGTTAATTTACCATCTGCCTCCTCTTGTGGAGCCTTAAAGAAACAGAGGATGATGAAAAAGCACAGCACAGAACTTTGCTGCCACCAGACCCTTCTTCCCAATGTGAGACGCTGCTATTTATTACTAAACTTTGTTTATAGTTACGCAGACTCTCTCCCACCCACATGGCAATGTTTCATTCAAGACAAGTTTGAATTCACTTCAAGAACAACATTTCAAAGGATCCCAAAGCATTTGTTTACAAACAGCATGCACGGAGAACTCGCTTCTCCCACCAATGAACATGGTCTCCTCCAAGATGGGGAGAGGCAGCTGTTTCATAGCACCCAGTGCTACTCAACAGCTGAGGGACAGGAAACGATCCACAGACAACTGATACTGCTGAGAAAATTTATGGAAAATGAGGGCTGGAGACTTCTATTTGCCAGGAGAGAATGGGGAAGCTTCTGAGGACTAAAGCTCTCCAGTGGGTCAGCAGGAATTTAGGGAGGCAAAGAGTCCCAGACTGTGGTCAAAGGAGTGACTCCAAATTTCAAGCCTCATCTGAAAGTTGGCACCTCTCAAACTAACGGGAACCTGGGCACTGGGATAATTTGGCTGAGGAGGGGAGAGCACCCCCTGCTGAGGCAGCCACACCGATCTCATCCAAGACCCAAACAGGCCCAGCCCTGTTCAATGTGGGGTACAAGCCAAAATCACAGCCTAGGGAGGTATTTGGTGCAGGGAGAAGACACTGGGAAGACTATAAAACTGAAAACACTTTGTAGTCCCAGCTCCATACACAAGACCTACTGCAAACACTAAATCTTCAGAGGGGAGAAAAAAATTCAGAGGAAGGAGGATCATGCAACTCCTTCAAATACCAAAGTGCTAGGAATGGTAAAGGGTCACACATTGTGGAAGACAAGAGAAGCTACATTTTTAAGATGGAAACAGAGTCCTGAAAAAGGCTAGAGGAGAGTCAGATGTATGAAGACTCTGGACAAAAGGGAGACAAAGGGTCTTACAGAGAGCTGGCTTCATGTGGTAATTGTTCCCCAGAACAGTCACCAGCTTTACACAGATAGGAGAGAGCAGGGGCTCCCCAGAAGATCAGTCAGTAAAACATCCAAACAAGGGACAGAACATATCTCCTCACCTCCAAACAGCCACCCATGATGGGAGGAACCAAAGGGTATCACAGAAGAAGTAATGAAAATACCAGTGTTGGAAGAGAGCTGCCCTGAAGGAGATGGGATGCAAGGCAAGTTGCAGCCCTCTTCCATCCAGATCCATCTCGGAGATCTAGCCCAGGACATCTCATCTTGACGATGGGACATGTATGTGGGCACAGTGGGTCTTGCACACACCCGTGGCTCAGAGGTGGGCAGCACGTGGAGAGCTCTCCTTCTCCACGGAGGCAGAAGAGGAGAAAGCTCATCCCCTCTACTCATTCTTCCCATTCTTCCCAGAGATGAGATGCAGAGGACAAAGCTGCCAAAATGGATGTCCCTCCCCAAAATGGATGGTAGGAGAACAAAACTGTCCCCAAATCCACTTCTTGGGGAGGGCTGATGGAGGTAGGACTGCTCCCACGCCCCTCTGGCGGAGGGAACAAGGGGCACCCTCCCCAGGCAGGCACAGTGTGAGATGCCCAGGCCCTTTAGGTGGGGAATAACAATCCCGAGTAGGACACAAGGGGGGGACACCACCCTTAGACACTCCCAAGATGGGAGATGCCCTCTCGGTCAAGGTGTTGGCCAAACATCCTGAGCACGTGGAGGGGGCAACCCTCAGATGGGGGGCAGTGGTCTCCTCCAAGGTGTCTCTGCAGCCCCAGAGAAGGGGGATACCCCAGGTGCCTCACAGGGGAGTTACCAGGGGGCAACTTCCCCAGAGATGATGAGGGCAGTGAAGATGGGGGGCTGTACCCGGAGGCAGCACTCAGGGACCACCAGCCCCAGAGAACGTGCACGGGGGGGTATCACCACCAGCTTCTCCCAGGCGAGGTACGGGGGGCGCACGGAGGGTGTGTCCCCCGCAGATCGAACCCAAGGGGGACACCATCCCCACCCGCTCCAAGGCAAGGTAGTGGGGATGGGGGATGGATGCGGGTCCCCCTCCCCACGCCGGGCACCACTCGAACCGCCAGTCCCTCAGGGCACCTCCCTACCCCGGGGGTCCCGGCCCCGCCGTCCCGGAGGGGGGAGCTGGCCCCGGCCCCAGCCCCGAGAGGGGCGAGTGTCCCCCGGCGGCCCCCTGGGGAGGCCCACGGGGCCCGGGCTCCACGCGTGGCCCCGGGAGACCGGAGACCGGGCCCGCGCTCACCCAAAGTCGTCGTCCATAGACTTGAAGTAGAACTTGTAGTTGGGGCGGTTGAGGAGGCCCTTGAAGTCGCCGAGGGTGACGCGCTCGGCCGGGATCGGCAGCTTCACCAGGTACGGCGTCTCCTGCTCGTCCAGGTGGTAAATGATCTTCGTCTCGGCCGCCGCCATGGCGCCCCTGCCCGGCCGCCAGGCCCCCGCCCGCGCCTCCGCCGCCTCCTCCGCCCCGGCGCGGACCCCCGGCCCCGGCCCGGCCCCTGCCCGCGCCCCGGCCCAGCTGCGGCCTCCGCACGCCCGGGCCCCCCGCGCCCCTTGTTCTGCGGGTCCCAGCGCCGCCCGCCCGCACGGCGCAGGCTCGGCCCGACGGCCCCGCCCCGCCCGCCGCCCCGGCCCCGCCGGAACCGGAACCGGCGCCCCGCGGGGCTGCGCGGGCCGGCACCGGGACCGCGATGGAACGGGACCGGCACCGGGACCGCGATAGAACGAGACCGGGCTCAGCGGGCACCCCGGGAGGGTCGGCCCAGACCCTGCCCCAAGCCAGACCCCGCACCCATAGGAGACCCACCCCCAGCTGGAACTGGCCCCGTCCGCCCCTGCTGTGCCTCGGCTGAGTGCGTGGCCCCCGGGAGCGCGCACCGCCAGCCCCAGCGCCTGTGGGGGCGTTTGGGTTTGTCCTTTACATCCACGTCGTCTCACACACAGCCTGGCACTCCCCACGCACCCACATTCCCAGTCCCAGCTGGTTTGTGCCCATGTACCCCTCCCAGGCTCCCCACTCCCATTCAGCTTTCTCCCCCTCTTAACACCCACTGATGCTGCTTCACAACTTCCACTGCTTCTCATGTCCATACCACAGGCCTCCCTTTCCATTTCTACAGCCCAAGTCCTTTATCACACACCTCTCAACCTTCCCCATGCTCCTCATACCATATAGCTACAGGCCCCTTGAGTACAGCTTACAGAATATGAGGTACATCCTGCTCTACCCTGTCCTCCCATGTCCAGACCCCTTTGAACTCCCCGTACTGTGTCTCTGATGGCCACCACACACAGGGACTACCTCCCGCCCCAGTTCCCCCCCAGCTGTGGCTTCCCTCTGAACACTGTCACCAAACAACAACTATCCCCAGTAGTCAGGCATTGGACACCACAACGTCCCTCCCTTCAAGTTTCCTAAGCCTCTTTTCCTCACCAAGCAGACTCCCTCCTCTACTCTTCATGAACATTCTCCTTTCCCACATACTGTGGCCTCTTCAACTGTGAAACCCCCTTGGCTCTGAGATTTCTTCCTTATCCTCTCTGTCCCCCGACCCCATCTCTCTCTTACTTGCAGTCCTCAGCACTGTGATCCCAGTCCCCAGGACTTGCCTCTGTGCTGCAGCAGTCCCGGGCTGGCTGTTTTCCCCTTCAGACACCTCTGAAGCACCCAAAGGGCACCAAGGAACCGTCTCCATCAGCAGTTTCCCAGAGCTGTGGCTGAGAGCAAAGCTGGGGTGGATGGAGCTTTGGGAACACCCACCACTAGGAAGGGCAAGAACCGCCTCACACTGTCCCAGATTAGAGGGAACAAATGCAGAGGAAGCACCACGCCATGGGCCTGCACAGGGCATGAGACCAGATCACCAGCCCTCAGCACCAGACTCCCCTGCAGTAGGAAAGGAGCCAGAGAGATCCTCTAGGGAACAGAGCCAAGCTCCTCCGGCTAGCAGGCAGGCTGAGCTAAACAGTCTCCTCCTGCATTACCGACTCCTACAGGCATGCTAGCAATTACCTGGGCAGCACTGCTAGACTGGGTGAAGAACCTGACACTAAACTGGAAAAAAAAAATAAAAAAAATTCAAGGGAAGTCCTCATGTAAGCAGGAGTTGTAAGTAGGGTAAGGCTCTCCCGTATTTCCACATCAGCTCTTAGAAAATTGTCATTTCCTCATGCCTGGAGCTCTGTGGTAAAAGCTGGTGTACCTGGAAAGAAGAATCCAGCTCAGAATGGAAAAGTTTAGTTTAAGGTGCTTCTTCCTGTGTCAATCCTGACAGAGCAAATCTGAAAGTTGTTTTACAACACTTCCCTGACCCAAAAGCAGGCACAAGGTAAAGAATCCTAGTCAGCCCCTGACAGGGCCACTCCCTTGCCCACTTCCCAGCATAGCTGTGGGTGCACCTTGGAGCCTGTATCCCACACATTAGACACCTTTGTTACCAAGTATTGCAGCTGTTTTGTAAATGGTTTTATTAAGAGCTCTGTTGCTGTCCTTCCCCCTCTCTGCCAGTTCCTACTCCCCAGCATCAGGAGAGCACAGTGCAGTGCCTATCAGCCAGCATTCCCACTAATTCTCAAAATGACAAATGATAACAGGTTTCATTGGATTTAAGGTTCATCTTTGCAACATAATCCTGTACAAAACCAAACCTCACCCATTTCAGGATTCTATGTTCAGAACTGTTCTCTAGTTGTAAACGTGAGTTATCAATGAACACACCAATTCAATGCTCTGCTGATTTCCCCACCTGTCTATTGTGTGCTTAAAATCTCTTCAGGAGAAAGTAGCGATGAGTTATTTAGCTTACACACAAAGCCCTGCTCAGGCATGTACCACAACTGGAGACATAAAATCCCAAGGCAAAAAAAAGCAAACAAGCTGGTAACACCAGGATAGGTTTTATTTGCTCCCTGAATTAAATATTGGCAGATACAGAAAATTCAGATACCAACTATTTCCCCAACATTTACAAGACTGAGTTTGCAATGTCAGAAAACAAGGACATTTATGCACAATCCTGGCAACTGATAGTGAGTGCACAAGATCGCCCTGCCTGCACATCAGCTTTTAAGAGGCAGTATCCCTGGTCTCCAATGCTGTCCCCTCACTGACAATTGTGGCACCACGGAACAGCCAAGTAAATATATCCTGAGTGGGCAGCTCCAGTGCATTTCCCCCTGCAAAGGATTTATTCCATGCTCCTCCTGAAGAGGCAGAGGCAAGGTCAGCACATCCAACAAATAACCCACCTATGAAGACACGCTGATGCTCGCTGTGCCCTTTTTGCTCTGTTCTTTGAGAGCAGGGAAGAACACAGCACGGCGACACTTCAAGGAAGCTGTTCTTAAAGGCCTTACTGCTGCCACATATTGTCTGTGCTGGCAACAAAGTGCCAGAGGCACACTCGCTCCCTGCTGCTTGCCGAGCTGCTCTGCGGCTGCAGAACTTCACAGTGGGTTTGCAGCACTTTCCCTGCTGTCTGAGGGAAGTTTTCAAATAAATAAAAGGACATGAAGTAAGCAAGCTTGTATAACTGAAATCATGTGGATACACAGACCACGTGCTGTTGAAGGAAATACCACTCACTCCTTTTCACGCTGGAGCAGAATTTAGGAACTTGCATCCTCTTCAAAGCAGCTGGTGCAGTCAGTGCCCCCCGGAGCAAAACACAAGTGTAGTTGGTGCAGCGGGAGGAGCCAGGCACCTCTGCTCCCTTTTTATAAAAAAAAAAAATAAAGAAACAGACACTTCTCTAAAACATGTCTGCTAAGCTGGGGTGCACAGAAGACGGATCACATGTAAGATGTGTCGACCTGCACGGCATTTCACCGGCCAGTGCACATCCACTGCTAGCCAACCCCACCCAGGGAGCTGACACACACCATCCCCGGTTCTACAGCAGGGGAAACACATGGTTTTACCAACTCCACTGTGCAACCTCGTGTTAGATCCTAGCATGGCAGATGGCAAGAGATTTTCCCTTTTGGAAAGATCACAGAAGTGCCTTCTAGGCTGCAAAATGCCTTGGGCATCCTCATACAATTGCATCTTCTCCAGGCACAGGAACTCCTGAATCCCAGTCCTGCACTCCAGATCCTAATCCACATGCTCTTACTCACCAACCTTGCCAGTGTCTCTTCAGCAGGAGTTCTCTTAGCTCCAAAAGCAACAATGACTCCAAACACCTTAGCTGCATGACCATTCTTCAACAATCCCGATGGTTAGATCTAAATGGGCATCATATGCATTTGCATCTCCTCGTTCCCTTTGTATTAGTAACAAGGACCTCCTCAAAGATAGCTTATAGTATATCATATCCAGGTTCCAGAGGGATTTTAGGTATCACCACCTCCTGCTTTTCCCTTATGGTTTTTACACTGGGTTGCAACATAAGGTGTGCAAGTGAGGGAGGGAGGGAAGTGGTGAAGTTTGGGAACACACAACTGAATTGATGATGGGATTGTCAGTCACTTCGATGTCAGGCCTCACATCTACACACCATGCACTGGCATTGATCTTGCCCTGCCCACTCGGCCCAGAAAGGCAGTGAGAGCCTTTTCTCATGCTGAGCCACCACGTCAGTCTTGGTCGCCATCAGACGACTCCTCCTCTGCCTCCTCCAGCCATTGGATAAACTTCTGGAGCTGCAGAAAGAATGATACATAATTGGGCAACAACTGACACCAAAGAGATGCTGCAAATGCTCAACAAATACATTGTGTGAGTGATCATCACTATCATACACAAGAAAGAGAAAGTGTTTCCAGAAGACATAGAAACTGAGACAGATTGAGGGAGAGGGAGACAGTTAGGTGAAAAACAACTGGGATGCCACAGACAAATGCAGACTAAATTCCTGAAGGAGATTCCTCCAGTCAGACAATCCCCACAACACTTAGCAAAAAGACAAAAGTTTCAGAGTTTTTCAGAGCTTGAGGGCAAAGAGATGACAGCTGCACCTTAGCTAAGACATGTTAGGAAAACTCTGCTGGGAAAAAAACTACTCCCTGAGAAACTGCTATTAAAAAGGCAGCTCATTTTACCTTTTAACTGGGCTTGAACAAGCAGCTGAAAGCACTGCTGACCTATACTAATAGCTGACTTTGAAGAACAGTTTTGTTTAAAACCTTTGCAGAGATGGCTTTTTCCCCCTGCTACTCTTCCAGATCCAGGGAGGAGGACTGGAACAGGGCTCAGCCAAACTGCAGCACAAAGTTCTGCCTGATGGAGGAGGGAAGTTTATACACTCCTTGCAACAGAAGCCAAATGAAACCACTCGGTACAGCAAACATTTAGAAATATATGCAAAGGGACTGGTGAGCCAGGAATGAAAGCTTCAAAGGAATTGCATGGGGCCAGCACACAGGGCATTGGCCTAAAGCCCATTTCAAATGGGTGTTGGCTTAGAGAAGCTGTGCTGCTACTCCAG